AGCGGGTCGGCCGTCTTCTTTTCTCGATCGAATAGATGTTCTGGGATCTTCCCATGGTTTCCACCCGCCACTTTGCGGGGCTCTCTTCTGGGCCCGGTGGTCTGCCGGATCTGATTGGGGGTTGCTTTCTTTGACGATGTTGTGCTTGTTGGCAATTTCCAACAACCCGTCGAAATACGGGGCTCTCTTCTGGGCCTGGTGGTTTGCTGGATCTGATTGGGGGATGCTTTCTTTGACGATGATGTGCTTGTTGGCAATTTCCAACAACCCGTCGAAATCCCGGGGCTTGTGCAAATTGATGTTCCCGGGGCTCGTGCAAATTGATGTCATAACGAAACCTCTCAGGCCTCAGACCCTACTTTAGGGCGACTTGTCCCATGTCGGTTCGGAAGTCATTCACATCCATTATCTCCTTCTGAAATCGTAGGATGTAGGAATTCAGGCTCTATTTTGGTCATTATTTATGCCATCACAAGGACTGCACGCTCTTCTTGGGCAAATTATGTCAAGGAAATTCTGCAGAAGTCTGAAAAGCTGTTGATGCTTTCGACAGGAATCTAGTTGAACAACCTAAAGACTGACGACCTCAGGGTGGTAAAGAACAGACAAAATTTGAATGTGTTTGATACTTTCAACAGACACATTGCAGATTCAAACGAGGCAATATGGTTGTTAGGATTCAACCAACCCTTATATGCCTTCAATGCTGGCAGCTTGAACTTCTCCGAGGGCTTAGCTCCCGAGAGACGAAGGGAGAAGGGATTCTCTTGGTGATGTGACGCCTCAGTGTGCTCGAACCACTGTCTCTTCACTTGCGCGGATCCAACTTTGTCTTAGTACTATGAATGTTCGACTCTCTTGGGGCCGTGGTTCAGCCTTCTGTCATTGTGTGTCCTGACACCGTTTCTTGAGGAGCGTTTTTCCCTCGGGTAGTCTGATCTTCTCCTAAGACCATGACGGCCCTCAGGAGTTCTGCAATCTGGTCCGAACCTGATTCATTATCTAGATTCTTAATTCTTTCATTTCCTGTTGCATGAATTCTTCCACGCCTTCTCTGGCGTGTTCTGAATTTTCCATGTCTTTCTGGTGATTCTCCTATTCTCCTCTCGTTGTGACTGTTGCACTCCTCTTCTTGTCGATAACATGATTCCACGCTCACCGCACTTTTGAGGATGTTGAATCCAAATATGTCTGAGAGACATCTAAGGAATGGAGCGCAAAAGGGAGGAAAAGAGCTGAGTGAGCACAATAGTGAATAGTAAAATCGTGTAACTTTTATTCATGAACTGAGCTTTTATTTATAGGAATGCGAGTTGTAAGATTACATTATGTGTCCCTAGTAAAGTAGGTCTAACAGGGGTATTTTGGATAATACATAGTTATATGGTCGGAAGCCTTAAATGACGTCCAGTCGGGTCGTGATTCAGACGGTTATACACCAGGAGTCTAAGAGGGTGACCGACCGGGTCATGACTCGGGTGGCTATGACTGAAGGGTTGACCGGAAGGCGTCGGTGGTCTGCCTAAGATCCGAGCAGTTCTAATCATCCGTACGAATTGGTTGAGGAATGTCAGTAGATTCATCAACGCGAGTTTAGTACTGGTGACCCTTTCAGAAGATAGTCGAGTTCCGTTAGCCAAGGGGTTATTTTTCTCCTGGTCAGCAGGAGCCAAGCGGGTAAATACGGGCCCTCAAACTACCCCTGGTGGGTATCAAACCGCCATATTATTTCTCCGGCGGCTGTTAGATTTTTGTGAGATTTGTGCTGACACTTTTTGTATGTGCTCCTAGGCTTTCAGGTGGTACTTTGGCTATATATTGGTCTCTAGGTGGTATATATATTCCCTATACCCTTTCACGTCCTTGGTGCTTCACTGCCATGCCTCCCTTCTTGTTGCAAGCCGTCTCGACAATGGCCCTTTTGTTGTTTTCTTGCATATTTCCTCTGTCCAGCTCTTACTCCTTGCCGTCATTGTTGTTCCAGTCCTCTACCTCGCTACCGCAGTTGTCCAACCCTCCATCTTTGTGGTCGCCACCATTTCAACCCTCCATCCTTGCTACTATCTCCTCGACAGCTCTCTCACATCGCTCCTTTCTATTTTCTTGTTGTTTGACACTGGGGACACATATTTCTGCATCTTCCTGCTTAAAAATTGACATCTTTAATTTCCTAACCTTTGCATCTTCACCCCAACTTCCTCTCCCTCCACTATTTTCCCCGTGTACCAAGGGTAAAATTTCCTCCTTTGATTATAGCCATATCCCATCCCAACTTCTCTCATTTCTTCTTCGTGCTCCTCCATACCCCTTACATAGTCTCTTCTCCATGTTTTGACCCAACTACCTCCATCTAAGATCTCTAATCCACCACCAATCAGAGCCCTACAAGGGGGTTCTTAATGTGGGATGGTTTCCTCTTTGTGTTCCTTTCGTTCAATCTCTTTCCATTTTGATTTAGCCAAGGATTCCCTGGTCAACTCTTGGTTAGAGTTTGCAAAATGAACTGTCGGTAGGGCCTTGAATTGCATCTCGATAAGTTTTCTCATCATCTTCTCAAGGTGCTCGAATCAGCCCTCAATTTGGTTTTCCATGGAAGATCTATTGTCTATAGAGAAAAACATTTCTTCTATGGTGGAGAACCTTTCCTCCATCCTAGATCTGGTTTGATTAATCTCTTCTTGTAATTTCGTTTCGAAATCATCTACTTTCTTGGTCTCTATTACTTCCTATATAATCCTGGAACTCCTTTATGCCAAAATTGCAAGGTTAGAAATTTTTGTACGTGGTTTCAGCATGGAACTCTGGACGCTACTATCCTGTTGCTGACCTCTCTCAATCAAAATTCGAATCCGTAACACGTCTCGATCGCGTGCGCGGTCTGGAACTTCTTTACAAAGGGATCCCGATCATTGTTTTTGATCAAGAATGGTGTAGAACTTCTGTTCTCTACGATTCGTTCACTTCCCTGCGCACTTTTGTGCCCTATGATCTCGTTGTTGGCTTCCAAGCCATGAGGAAATCGTGACTTGGCATTTGTATGCAATTCCAATTTTTTGCCCTGTATTTCGTGACGTCTTCGTTGCTTCACAACTAACTCTAATTGTGACTGAATCGCGATAACGAGGCAGGAGGAGAATACGTGTTCTTCTATATCTCGTGATCATCTGTATGCCGCATTCTTTGTACGCCACGATCGTCTGTATTTCTCCTGTCATCGCTTCCTTGCAAACTCAGGCTCAAATCGTGACAGTATCGTTTAGTCGCAATCCCGTCATCACTCGATCCGATCCTCAACCCTTGTGCTTCCTAGAACAGCCTCTCCTATGAGCTGATATCCCTTCTTATTTCCAGATCGATGTTCTGATACCAATTTGATAGGATTCTGTATAGAAATTTGAGCAAAACAAATATATTGTTTCTCTAAAGCAAATGATACAACCACAAATATATAAAATAATAGATAATCATTTACAATTCAAGAGGTATATCTCTCATGTCCTACAATTTGAGAGGTAAAAATCTCTACCAAACCCTAAACCTAAGACTCACAACATTAATCTTTTGCATGACCATAGCCCTAATCCTATTAGCCCTATTTATATTAAATAATAATAAATGATAAAAAACTAAATTGCCCATAGGCACACAGAAGATTGCCCTTAGGCTAGGCACTGTCATACCATCTTGTTGTTTGAAAACATGTTCTATGGTCTTAATTTCAAGCAAAACAGAAAAATACAATTTACTTAGTGGTTTTGTGATAGTTATTGTGAGACTCACTTTTGTTTCATTTGCCTAATGCACAAATTTGATGCTGGATCATACCATAACAAAATAAAAAATCCCAAATTTTTAATGCTTTAAATGTACATGTTAGTTTATCACTAAATTCTATCTCTATTTGTTGGAATTAATCACCTTTTCTTCCCTTTGATTATACAATCCTATAGGATGTATGTTCCAACCTTTTGGATACTTTGTGTAGTAACCTGAACATTCATCGATCAAGATATTGCCCTCTTTGGCTTAAGGAACTTACAATCTTGTTACATTGATGTAACTTATGAGGAGGTCACCCATCTCAAGTGTGCTCTTGTACGAGCACGCTTAACCTAGAGTTTTAACTGAAATTCCAACTATTATACCAAAAGGCGCTTAAATGTTTAAGATTTCATCTTCATTTTACTTAAGGGGTTTCACAATCTCTCCCACTTAAGTAATTGACATCCTTGTCATTTTTTTAACCCAAATTCATGCACTAGACATATATAGGATCCTAGTGGCAGCTTCTACAGATTCAAGATGTAGCTCTCACTATATAGCACTTGGTCCCATCTAGGGTTCAAAAGGTGGCTCCCATAATATAACATTTTATTTGTATAATACTTAGTTCCCGTATTATGATTAGTGTAAGATTCTGATACCATTTCTAACAACTTGTAGCTCCCATCCATTGAGATTTTACTCATTTTGGCCTAATGACTTCATGATTTTGTTCCATTTGTGTAACTTCCCTAGAAATCACTCATCCCATAAGTGCTTCTGTATAGGCATGCTTAAATCTGGAGTTTCTAATAAAACTCCGACCATTACACAAAAAAATACCTTGATATTTAAGCGTTTAGCTTTATTCTATTTAAGGGTGTTGACAATTTTGAAATTCGTGAAGTAAATTTGAATGGTTCAAAAATAATTTATGTACTTGAAACTGTTGTTTGAAATTAATTGCAATTTTCTTTTTGGGGATTGCTATTTTGTCGAAAATGTACATTTTTCGAGTTCTTTCTGGGTTGTATTATTCTGAAACGTAACAAGCAAAATATGTTTATGATCTAGTCATCCTATATAATATGGTTTTTAGCTTTTCGAAAGCTATAAGGGAAGTTTCTGTGTTTTGAAATGATACATAATGGCATTGTTTTGGCTCGTGATTAATTGTTTTTTTAATGACATCAGAAGAAACGGAATTTCATGTTGTTGTTATGCACTTTATGTAATAGGTACAAGTTTTGACTTCAACAAATTGCTCCAGGAAGCTAAGAGCAGGTGGCTAAACAATTCAGAAGTTCTTTTTATATTGCAGAATCATAAGGGTCTTCCAATTGAGAATGAAACTCCTGAAAAGCCAATCAGTAATACTTCAGTTCCTGCAAAATTATTATTATTATTATTATTCTTTTTATTATTATTGGTTTCTTATTGTCATTCAGTCCCATAGTGCATTGTAGTAGTGCTAAACATCTAAATATTATCACTTCTGATTTTTCAACAGGTGGTTCCTTGTTCCTTTTTAACCGCAGGGTTCTTAGGTTTTTCCGTAAAGATGGTCACATTTGGAGGAAAAAGAAGGACGGTAGAACAGTTAATGAAGCCCATGAGCGCCTCAAGGTTTGTTCAATATATTTTTTTTTCCTTAAAGATAAAGTAGATGGCCAATATGTAGCAATAGTTTGTTTGCATCATTGTTACTTGGGAAATCCAAATATATTATTAATTTAGGAATATTACCAAATTTTGGGGCCGTTTGGGATCACTTTTATTTTTTGTTTTGTACTATGTTTTTATTTTATTTTGTTTATGTTTTGATTTGAAAATGTTTTTATTTTATTTTGTTTATGTTTTAATTTGAAATAAAACATGTTTGATTTGAAGCAAAACATGTTTGGTATGTTTTATAAAGATATAATTGTTTTTGAAAACACTTAGAAGCTATTTTGAGTGCTATCAAAAGTATGTTTCTTTATTTTTAGAAATAAAAAATAAAAATATATTAAAAACACGTTAAACAAATATATTTTTAAAAACAGCCAAAAACAAAAACTATAACGTAAAAGAAAATTGATCCCAAACAAGCTCTTAATGTTTTTTTTTTATAATTTGTGCAGGGCTTTTGTGTCCTTTCTCCTTTTAGGACTCTTCTCTCACTTTTCTTTAATTGTAGGGGCTTTTAAATAAAATCCAGGTCATGCTATGCCTTTTAAATAGCCTTGGAGTCCTTTGGACCAAGTTGCTGAATAAGATCATTCATTTCCTGAAGCAATCCTACGCTTCATTTGTAGGATCAGTGAGATTCCATCCTTTTCTGAGTGTGTCAGGAGTTATTTGATTTGTCAAGAGCATTTTCTGGGTACAATTTTTTCTTAGGTCATTTACGTACATAGCACACAATTCTTATCTATTTACATATCTGACACCCAAACATTCATATTTACACACATAGCACTCAAAATCTTTAATATCACATAAAAAATAGCACAAGTACAACTTTTTAAAAATGAAGTACACCTCATAGGTTAAAGCACCGAAGTAGTATGTATGTAAATATGAAAGTTTAGGTATGAGATATGTAAATGCATCATAATTGTGTGCTACGTATGTAAATTTTCCTTTTGGTTTTTACCATTAATGTTGCAGTTTCATTGCTTCTTTCTAGTTTACTATTGTCCCAACCATCCAACACCCTCAAAACTATTATAAACATTTACTATCATCATGCTTCCCTTTTAAAGCTCTATCAAAATATCTAGTTTTGAATCCTGAAGCAATATCTTTGTTTTTTGAGCATAAGGCTAATCACATTAATTCATGATTTAGATTCAGGGAGATAGCATGATGTCCAACCGTCTCTTAGTGAATGAAATCAAGGGGGTATTTTGGGGCTGATTTGTGTAGTGGGGTTCCTAGATTAAGATTTATTTGTATTAATATTGGTTACAAATTAGCCAACCCAAAATGAAGTTATCAATGAAGAGGATTATTGTAGGAAACTAATTCTTGGCTACTACAATAGATGTTTCAAAAAGTGGAGTAAGGCATGGTGTTTTACCTTTATGAGGGCTAAAGCCACTTGAATTTTTAATTTTTAATAGTTTATAAATTTAAATATGATTAAAAAATAAATATAAAAAATAAAAACAATTATAAAATCTAAACTTTGTTATCATAGGATTCATAATCTAACTTCATAGTCTAATTGACAAAAATATATAAAATAAAACAAAATGAAATGTAAATAACTCTAGCATATTTTTATGATCAGGCATTTGAGATTTTCAAGTATTATAACAATCTCAAATAGCTTCTTATTAAAAAATATAGAACACATGATAGAAGTGATCGATTGATTTTTTGAAACTAAAATTTGTGCATTTGCTATTATTAGATATGTTGGGGATTTTTATTTGTATACGATAACCTTAAATGCTCATAATTTTATGGACGGATAGTGATTTTTGATGAATCGAATGTTGTTGGACTTCATATTATTTGTTTATTATTTATATGACTTTTAGATCTATTTTGCTTTTCCACTTTTGAGAATTTTGATAGGAAGTTGTAATGTAATTTTTTTCTTTTGAGTATATGCATATAACATTTAAACAAAAAAGATAGAAAAGTATGTAGAGTGGATAACTACATGTGCAAAATGAGATTTATCATCTCTCACAAAAGTAAAATGGGAGTGATTATTTCTTACATCTTTCAAAATAAAACTATCCTATAAGTAGAGCTGAGCAATGGGTTGTTTTGTTGTTGTCTGATAGTGTGACAGAAAAGAACTTGTTTAAATTGTCAAAAATGAGAGGTCCAAATCATTCGTGCAAGTATCATGCCATTTCTTCCTCTCAATGGTATGCCTAAGAAGTGAGCTTATGTTATTATGGGGAGGAATGCTTTTTTCTAGTATATGATCTATTCAATTATACATTTAATTGTGACCATTATACAATTGTGGTTGAAATGAATTTGAATGAGCATATTAGCGCATGGTACGAGCAATGATCTAGAGATATTTAGAAATTGAAAGAAATAACAACTAACATATCAAAATTGTGACTATTAGACATTTAAATTAGGGTTTTTCGGTTGGTAGAATTAGGAGTGCATTGCATTCCTAATACATAAATTTTAGATATTTAGCTATTGAAATTCATTGTAAAATAGCTTTGTATTTGAAATTCAATTTTTAGTTCATTTTCTCTGAATCAGGAATTCGCTCGATTTGGGTGAATTCCAAAGACACATCTTAAGAGTAATATATCATTGGCCATCCCACACGCTGCAACTCACCACCATCGCCACCCGCCAAACATCATCAGCTACTGTCATTAGATACCTTTGTTATCCGCCCACCAGCGGCCACCACCGCCACTCGCTGATTACTGCCAGCAGATCGACAATCATTACTATGAACTGCCGCCTCTGACCACCGCCTCCTGCAGCCTCTTTCGGTAGCTATTGCCGGCCACCGTCGTTTGTTTCAAAGTTTGGGCTTGAGGAAATTTTCATTTAATTCTTAGTTTAATGATTTATATAAAAAATAAATGGTTATTTATAGAAATTGTATGCTCTAAAGGCGGACTTGTCTTCTAGGTCTCAGGATTTGTCAAATAGGGTTTGACGTAGTTGCTAGTCGATTCCCCATATGATTCTCCAAGATGAGCTTAAGGCAAACTCGCCAGCTATTTTCATAGAGGAGCTCATTAAATTAGTTTTGAGATGGCCAAAATCAAAGCGAACTCTTAAGTCGATGATGAGGATATATTCACTAAACTCATGAATAACATCAAACTCGTCGAATCGCTATAGTTCAAACATTCTCTTAAGCCTAGAGAGCCTTTAAGCGAGTACCACCAAATGAGCCGACAACTTCTCTAAGTCTAGGAACTGACTACTAGTCCACATGTTTACTTAAGATTTATGCCCCTAATTCTTTTCTTTGCAGTTTTTCATTGTGACTTCCCGTTTCAACTATACTCGAGAGGAACCGAAGGGATGGAAGATGGTGGGAGTTGGGAACTGAAGAGGGGAAGAGAAAGCGAATGAATTCTCTATTGAGCCAAGTGGCTTGTCTCCCGAGAGGAACCGAAGAGATGGAAGATGGTGGGAGTTGGAACTGAAGAGGGGAAGAGAAAGCGAGGAGTCAGACATTTGAAGAGGGGGGAAGGGAAGTGAGTGTCGGGAAGCTAGGGAGATGATGTACGCCCTATAAATTATCGAATGAATTCTCTATTGAGCCAAGTGGCTTGTCTCTGGTGAATGAAGATAAGAGGGAGGAGCTTAGACATTATACAATTTTGGTTGAAATGAATTTGAATGAACATATTAACGCATGGTAGGAGCAAAGATCTAGAGATATTTAGAAATTGAAAGAAATAACAACTAACATATCAAAATTGTGACTATTAGACATTTAAATTAGGGTTTTTCGGTTGGTAGAATTAGGAGTGCATTGCATTCCTAATACATAAATTTTAGATATTTAGCTATTGAAATTCATTGTAAAATAGCTTTGTATTTGAAATTCAATTTTTAGTTCATTTTCTCTGAATCAGGAATTCGCTCGATTTGGGTGAATTCCAAAGACACATCTTAAGAGTAATATATCATTGGCCATCCCACACGCTGCAACTCACCACCATCGCCACCCGCCAAACATCATCAGCTACTTTCAATAGATACCTTTGTTATCCGCCCACCAGCGGCCACCACCGCCACTCGCTGATTACTGCCCCGCCTCCTACAACCTCCTTCAGTATCTATTGCCATGTACCACTATTTGTTTCAGAGGTAGCTTGAGGAAAATTTCATTTAATTCTAAATTTAATGATTTATATAAAGAATTAATGGTTATTTATAGGAATTGTATGCCTTAAAGGTCGACTTGTCATCTAGGTCCCAAGATTTATCAAATAAGATTTGACGTATTTGCTAGCTGATTCCCAAGGTGAATCTCTAAGCTAAGCTCAAGACAAACTCGCTAGCTAGTTTCCTAGAGGAGCTCATTAAATCTGTTTTGAAATAGCCAAAGTCAAGGTGAACGCTTCAGTCAATTACGAGGATACATTCACTAAACGCTTGAAGAACTCGTGTAAAGACAACATCAAGCTCATCAGATCACTATGGTTTAGACATTCTCTTGAGCTTAGAGAGCCCTTCAGTGAGTACCACCAAAAGAACCGACGACTTCTCCAAGTCTGGGAACTGACTACCAGTCCACAAGCTTACTTAAACTATATGCCTTTATTATTTTTCTTTGCATTTTTTCATTCTGAAGTCTCATTTCAACTACCCAAGAGGAATTGAAGGGAGGGGAGATGATGCGAGGAGTCGAGAATTGAAGAGGGGAAAAGAAAGCGAGGAGTCAGACAGCCAAAGAGAGGAGAAATGAAGTGAGGAGTGCCGAGAGGTCAAGGAGGTGAAGTATGCCCTATAAATTGTTGAATGACTTGCCTGTTCAGCCAAGCGCCTTGTCTGTGGTGAAGGAAGATGAGATGGAGGAGTTTTTGTGCGTGTAGAGGAGTGAGGCTTTCGTGGAGAGGATGAGGAAGGCGGTTGCGGTCGAGATGCAATCGAAGAAGTCAAAGAGGACTTTGTGGCTCTATAGA